AAAATAATGTTAAGGTTGGGGTGTCACCACAAAGTGAGGAACTGTATTAAACAGTAACGGTATTGTGTATGTTGAGAGCCATTGCCTTAAGGGTTTAAGTTCGTATAGGTCACATCTCGTCCATGTGTTGCAAGATTCCCGTCACACTGTTGTGTCTTCTTACCTCCTTATCTTGCCTTTCTCTCCATCCCCGAGCAAACTGTTGCCTCAACACATGTTGTTGTATGTCATCCCAACAGACTGGGTAGCAACACCTGCCCCAACAAAGTACGTTCGTGCACTACGTTTTACAACTAGGGCAACACAGATGGCCAGAGCCGGCCTTGAGAGCAGGCAGTTGTGTGTGCTCTTGTCGTTTTTTTTTTTTTTTTTTTTTTCATTGAGGGGTGCCGTCTTCACAGTCGAGGTTGGCAGCAGTTTTCTTCCTCTTACTCCGCTTTGTTTTCTTCCTCTTTCTCCGCCTTGTTTTCTTCCTCTTCCTCGGCCTTGTTTTCTTCATTTTCCTCGACCTTGTATTCTTCCTCTTCCTTCACCTTGTTTTCTTCCTCTTCCTTCACCTTGTTTTCTTCCTCCCCATCCTCCTCCACTTCTTCTGTCTCCATCTCTTCTTCTTTTTTGTCTTTTTCTTCTTCTTCTTCTTCTTCTTCTTCTTCTTCTTCTTCTTCTTCTTCTTCTTCTTCTTCTTCTTCTTCTTCTTCTTCTTCTTCTTCTTCTTCGTCTTCTTCTTCTTCTTCTCCTCCGCCTCCTCCTTCTCCATATTTTCCTCTTCTTTTTCTCCTTCTTGAAGAAAATATGTTTTGTAAGCCAAAGTTGGCACTGATTGATGCTGTGTTAGTGAGTTGAGAATAATGGCAATGAAAAGAAAACATTATCGCATTGGTTGGTGATTAGTTAATTTGCTTTAAAGAAACATAAACAACGAAACAAACAGGTTAGTAAGAAGATTGACAATCTGGACACTGTTGCCTTGTATTTCCCAACCAAGACTTCACCTATCCATCTTACCAAGATGTGGTCTCTAGGTCAGATTGCCCAAACCAAGTCCTTCCTGTATCTGTCTTAGCAAGATGGTTTGTTCAGGTCAGATTGTTCAACCAAGTCCTCACTTATCTATCTTAGCCAGATGTCACCTTTCCTTAAGCTAGGCACACCTGTATGAATGAACGTACAACAACCGCCAGTCTCTTTCGCGGGCCACAGATTCGCCTGCTGCATCTGCTGAGTGAGGCATCTGTTGGCCAACTGTTATCTCACACCTCACTTGAGGACAGGTTAGTTGCCGATGTGTCCAGGTGCTGGCTCTTGCGTCAGGGCGACAGTTTGCTGGCCTTGGTGTCGGTTTTACTGCAGCCGGCTTCTGTTTGTACTCAGGGTGATGTCATTGCATCTAGGAGGTGGTGTCGTCATCACTGCGTCAGGGTCGTGTTTTAATCTGCGTTTGAATGGACTAATAATAATGAGTGATAATAAATGGTTGTAGTAAATATTATTGTAGCAGCTGCAGCAGTAGTAGTAATAATTGTAGCAGTAGCGTTATCATCATTATTTGTAATAGTAGCGGTAGAGGTAACAGTAGTAGCAGCAGCGGCGGCAGCGGTAGCAGCAGTAGTAGTAGTAGTAGTTGTTGTTGTTGTAGTTGTAGCAGCAGCAGCGGCAGCATTAGTAGTAGTAGTAGTAGTAGTAGTTGTTGTTGTAGTTGTAGTAGTAGCAGCAGCATTAGTCGTAGAAGCAGCAGTGGTAGTAGTGGTAGTAGTAGTAGTAGTAGTAGTAGTAGTAGTAGTAGTAGTAGTAGTAGTAGTAGCAGCAGCAGCAGCAGCAGCAGCAGCAGCACCACCACCACCACCACCACCAGAAGCAATAGAAATAGTCGGAAATTGTAATGTATTATTGCCCTCGCCAGTCGGCCCGGTACTTGACATTTCATAGAACACTTGCGTAAGCGTGAATGCATGGAACAGCTGCATAAGTGTGGGTGCATGAAACAGTTGCATAAGTGTGGGTGCAGGGAACAGTTGCGTAAGTGTGGGTGCATGGAACAGCTGCATAAGTGTGGGTGCATGAAACAGTTGCATAAGTGTGGGTGCAGGGAACAGCTGCATAAGTGTGGGTGCATGAAACAGTTGCATAAGTGTGGGTGCAGGGAACAGTTGCGTAAGTGTGGGTGCATGGAACAGCTGCATAAGTGTGGGTGCATGAAACAGTTGCATAAGTGTGGGTGCAGGGAACAGCTGCATAAGTGTGGGTGCATGAAACAGTTGCATAAGTGTGGGTGCAGGGAACAGTTGCGTAAGTGTGGGTGCAGGGAACAGCTGCATAAGTGCGAGTGCATGAAACAGTTGCATAAGTGTGGGTGCAGGGAACAGCTGCATAAGTGTGGGTGCAGGGAACAGCTGCATAAGTGTGGGTGCAGGGAACAGCTGCGAAAGTGTGAGTGCATGGAACAGTTGCGAAAGTGCGAGTGCATGGAACAGCTGCGAAAGTGTGGGTGCAGGGAACAGTTGCGTAAGTGTGAGTGCATGGAACAGTTGCGAAAGTGTGAGTGCATGGAACAGTTGCGAAAGTGTGAGTGCATGGAACAGTTGCGAAAGTGCGAGTGCATGGAACAGCTGCGAAAGTGCGAGTGCATGGAACAGCTGCATAAGTGTGGGTGCAGGGAACAGCTGCGAAAGTGTGAGTGCATGGAACAGTTGCGAAAGTGCGAGTGCATGGAACAGCTGCGAAAGTGTGAGTGCATGGAACAGTTGCGTAAGTGTGAGTGCATGGAACAGTTGCGAAAGTGTGAGTGCATGGAACAGTTGCGAAAGTGTGAGTGCATGGAACAGTTGCGAAAGTGTGAGTGCATGGAACAGTTGCGTAAGTGTGAGTGCATGGAACAGTTGCGTAAGTGTGAGTGCATGGAACAGCTGCGTAAGTGTGAGGGCATGGAACAGTTGCGAAAGTGCGAGTGCATGGAACAGTTGCGTAAGTGTGAGTGCATGGAACAGTTGCGTAAGTGCGAGTGCATGGAACAGTTGCGTAAGTGTGAGTGCATGGAACAGTTGCGTAAGTGCGAGTGCATGGAACAGTTGCGTAAGTGGGAGTGCATGGAACAGTTGCGTAAGTGCGAGCGCATGGAACAGTTGCGTAAGTGTGAGTGCATGGAACAGTTGCGTAAGTGCGAGTGCATGGAACAGTTGCGTAAGTGTGAGTGCATGCAACAGTTGCGTAAGTGTGAGTGCATGGAACAGTTGCGTAAGTGTGAGTGCATGGAACAGTTGCGTAAGTGTGAGTGCATGGAACAGTTGCGTAAGTGCGAGTGCATGGAACAGTTGCGTAAGTGCGAGTGCATGGAACAGTTGCGTAAGTGTGAGTGCATGGAACAGTTGCGTAAGTGCGAGTGCATGGAACAGTTGCGTAAGTGGGAGTGCATGGAACAGTTGCGTAAGTGCGAGTGCATGGAACAGTTGCGTAAGTGTGAGTGCATGGAACAGTTGCGTAAGTGCGAGTGCATGGAACAGTTGCGTAAGTGTGAGTGCATGCAACAGTTGCGTAAGTGTGAGTGCATGGAACAGCTGCGTAAGTGTGAGTGCATGGAACAGCTGCGTAAGTGTGAGGGCATGGAACAGTTGCGTAAGTGTGAGTGCATGGAACAGTTGCGTAAGTGTGGGTGCATGGAACAGTTGCGTAAGTGTGAGGGCATGGAACAGTTGCGTAAGTGTGAGTGCATGGAACAGCTGCGAAAGTGTGAGTGCATGGAACAGTTGCGAAAGTGTGGGTGCATGGAACAGTTGCGTAAGTGTGAGGGCATGGAACAGTTGCGTAAGTGTGAGTGCATGGAACAGTTGCGTAAGTGTGGGTGCATGGAACAGTTGCGAAAGTGTGAGTACATGGAACAGTTGCGTAAGTGTGAGGGCATGGAACAGTTGCGTAAGTGTGAGGGCATGGAACAGTTGCGTAAGTGTGAGTGCATGGAACAGCTGCGTAAGTGTGAGGGCATGGAACAGTTGCGTAAGTGTGAGTGCATGGAACAGTTGCGTAAGTGTGAGTACATGGAACAGTTGCGTAAGTGTGAGGGCATGGAACAGTTGCGTAAGTGTGAGTGCATGGAACAGTTACGTAAGTGTGAGTGCATGGAACAGTTGCGTAAGTGTGGGTGCATGGAACAGTTGCGTAAGTGTGGGTGCATGGAACAGTTGCGAAAGTGTGAGTACATGGAACAGTTGCGTAAGTGTGAGTGCATGGAACAGTTGCGTAAGTGTGGGTGCATGGAACAGTTGCGAAAGTGTGGGTGCATGGAACAGTTGCGAAAGTGTGAGTACATGGAACAGTTGCGTAAGTGTGAGGGCATGGAACAGTTGCGTAAGTGTGAGTGCATGGAACAGCTGCGTAAGTGTGAGGGCATGGAACAGTTGCGTAAGTGTGAGTGCATGGAACAGTTACGTAAGTGTGAGTGCATGGAACAGTTGCGTAAGTGTGAGGGCATGGAACAGTTGCGAAAGTGTGAGTGCCTGGAACAGTTGCATAAGTGTGAGTGCCTGGAATAGTTGCGAAATTGTGAGTGCATGGAACTGTTGCGAAAGTGTGAGTGCATGGAACAGTTGCGTAAGTGTGAGTGCCTGCAACAGTTGCATAAGTGTGAGGGCATGGAACAGTTGCGAAAGTGTGAGTGCCTGGAACTGTTGCGAAAGTGTGAGGGCATGGAACAGTTGCGAAAGTGTGGGTGCATGGAACAGTTGCGTAAGTGTGAGTGCATGGAACAGTTGCGAAAGTGTGAGGGCATGGAACAGTTGCGAAAGTGTGGGTGCATGGAACACATGCGTAAGTGTGAGGGCATGGAACAGTTGCCAAAGTGTGAGTGCATGGAACAGTTGCGTAAGTGTGAGTGCATGGAACAGTTGCGAAAGTGTGAGTGCATGGAACAGTTGCGAAAGTGTGAGTGCATGGAACAGTTGCGTAAGTGTGAGTGCATGGAACAGTTGCGAAAGTGTGAGTGCATGGAACAGTTGCGAAAGTGTGAGGGCATGGAACAGTTGCGAAAGTGTGAGTGCATGGAACAGTTGCGAAAGTGTGAGGGCATGGAACAGTTGCGAAAGTGTGGGTGCATGGAACAGTTGCGTAAGTGTGGGTGCATGGAACAGTTGCGTAAGTGTGAGTGCATGGAACAGTTGCGAAAGTGTGAGTGCATGGAACAGTTGCGTAAGTGTGAATGCATGGAACAGCTGCGTAAATGTGAGTGCATGGAACAGCTGCGAAAGTGTGAGTGCATGGAACAGCTTCGTAAGTGTGAAGGCATGGAACAGTTGCGAAAGTGTGAGTGCATGGAACAGTTGCGAAAGTGTGAGTGCATGGAACAGTTGCGTAAGTGTGAGTGCATGGAACAGCTGCGTAAATGTGAGTGCATGGAACAGTTGCGAAAGTGTGAGTGCATGGAACAGCTGCGTAAGTGTGAATGCATGGAACAGCTGCGTAAATGTGAGTGCATGGAACAGTTGCGAAAGTGTGAGTGCATGGAACAGCTGCGTAAGTGTGGGTGCGTGGAAGAACAGGGTTAGGGTGGATTCTTGTAAAATTTGGCGCAAGCTGCTTCGTACCGAATGGGTTAAGACCCCCCCCCCCCTTTTTTTTTCCTACCGCATCTCTCTCTTTCTCATTCTTTCTCATTCTCTCTTATTCTCTCTCATTCTCTCTCTCTCTCCCTCTCTCTCTATCTCATTATCTCTCATTCTCTCTCTCATTCTCTGTATCTCATTCTCTGTCTCTCTCTCTCTCTCTCTCTCTCTCTCTCTCTCTCTCTCTCTCTCTCTCTCTCTCTCTCTCTCTCTCTCTCTCTCTCGATGTTACTAAACTGGGTTTGCACCCTGACATATTGATGTCCATTGACTAAAAAAAAAGACGCTTTTCGGATGCGATTGAAAGCAGGTTAAAGTTGCAAGCAGTCCTGTGAAACCGAGTACGGTTCATGACAATACTAAAGTAAAGGACTTTTCTACGCCTTTATGCGTATTAGGTATATAGGGCTAGACCTCTATCTTATAGACCAGTCGGTCGTTGATGTGGTCAGCATCACACTGGCCGCTTGTACATCCCAGGACTTTACCTGGTACCCATTTGAGGCGTGGTCATGTGAATAGGGCAGACAAGAACACTGACTAGATCCGTAATTGTGGTGATCATGTGAGATGGCGAAACATAACAGCACACACTTATCGGTACGCATTTGATAACTGCATATTTTTAAAAGTCTGTGGAAAAAAAGAGACAATAGGAAGACAGCTTTTTGTCATGACATGGAGTGGTGTCTGAACACAAACGGAACATGCGGTTGAAGATACAAGATTTCGGCAAGACATGATCGCCCACGCCAGTCGTCAAGGCATAGGAAGATGATGATAAAAATATGATGATGATGTACGGCAACCACTTTGAAGTAGCAGCTGGGAGGAGAGCAAGCGTTAGAAACACATGCCGTGAAGATTCATGTTAAGTTAGTTGCGTATCCTTTACAGGACGTTGCAGAACCAACCCCCTAACAGCCCCTGGCTGTTGTGTGGTTTCTCTAGGCAATTTACATCCAGTAGTTCGCCATTGCTCCTGGACGGTCGGCTTTCTTGATACCACTGTCGAAACCAACGCAAAGCGCGTTGCCTGCAGCTGGGATCGAACCTGGCATCCCGGCATTACGAAGCGGAGTGTTCGCATCGACTTAGCCACAGAGCCGACGAAGATTCATGTAGGAAAATATTATATGTATTGTTGTTAAAGTAAATGAAAAACATCGTCGTTTCCCCCTTGGCAGGCTAGCCGATTACAAGTTAGATTGGGAACACCTTGTTTTCCGGTACGATCTGTGCCTGTCTAGCCTGCCCCCGAGTCGGGTAGCCCAGCTGGCTGCACCAATCTACAACTAGCGCCACCTGGCGTCTGCCTGGGTTACCGTTACTGTTGATCACTCACACATGTGCTGCGCGTGTGCCCTCTAGCCGGCCTCGTGTGGCAGTCCCGTGTATCTCTGTGTGCCTACGTTGTTAAAAAAGAGTCTGTTAAAACTTTGTGCACGACGACTGAGTGAGTTTTCATTAAGCACAGCCATAAAAGTGGTGGCACGCTGGGGAGTGAGTACACATGATGTGTCCCCTATTCACAATGAAGTTTGACTACCTTGTACCAGCGATGTATTTTAGAATATAACGAAGTGAGACATTTGTCTCTCTTCTAGCAATGAGAACTAAAAGACCGTTAAATAAATAAAATAGATCGACAAATAGAAATAAGATTCAAACAGGTCAATGCAGTCACACAAGAATTGACACAGTTATCGAGACATTTATGAGCGCTAAGAAACAGATTATAAACAGCACATTCATATCAACTCTGTGCTACCAGTGCCAGACTTGGATGTTATGGAAGGCTAGTATAAAAGTAAAGCACCCTTTTCAACGCCTTTAGGCGTATAGGGCATATAGGGCTAGACCTATATTTAATAGACCTATCGGCGATGGGTGATGTGATCAGCATCACGCCGGCCGCCTTTGCTTCCCGGGACTGGACTCGGTACCCACTCAAGGCTGGGTCGACCTGGGAGTCAAGGTCATTTTTTAAAATGTCCGGCTCCGCCAGGGAGCGAACAATGAAAGGCTAACCTTCGTAAAATTAACACCTGTCAAATGAGATGCCTGAGAAGAGCCGCCAACTCAGCCATGGGAGAAAAAGTTATAAATTATGTTATCAGACAGATTCACAACCCAGAGACCAAGGGAAATATCTAGAAGTGCACGTAACAAAGCGCGGCCCTCACCGGGACCTCTAACACACGAGGGGGGGTCACCATACCTCGAGAGCACACGAGGGGGGTCACCATACCTCGAGAGCACACGAGGGGGGTCACCATACCTCGAGAGCACACGAGGGGGGGTCACCATACCTCGAGAGCACACGAGGGGGGTCACCATACCTCGAGAGCACACGAGGGGGGTCACCATACCTCGAGAGCACACGAGGGGGGTCACCATACCTCGAGAGCACACGAGGGGGGTCACCATACCTCGAGAGCACACGAGGGGGGTCACCATACCCTGAGAGCACACGAGGGGGGTCACCATACCTCGAGAGCACACGAGGGGGGTCACCATACCCTGAGAGCACACGAGGGGGGTCACCATACCTCGAGAGCACACGAGGGGGGTCACCATACCCTGAGAGCACACGAGGGGGGGGGGGAATCACCATACGTCGAGAGCACACGAGGGGGGTCACCATACCTCGAGAGCACACGAGGGGGGTCACCATACCTCGAGAGCACACGAGGGGGGTCACCATACCTCGAGAGCACACGAGGGGGGTCACCATACCTCGAGAGCACACGAGGGGGGTCACCATACCCTGAGAGCACACGAGGGGGGGGGGGAGTCACCATACGTCGAGAGCACACGAGGGGGGTCACCATACCTCGAGAGCACACGAGGGGGGTCACCATACCTCGAGAGCACACGAGGGGGGTCACCATACCCTGAGAGCACACGAGGAGGGGGGGGGGGGGGTCACCATACCTCGAGAGCACACGAGGGGGGTCACCATACCTCGAGAGCACACGAGGGGGGTCACCATACCCTGAGAGCACACGAGGGGGGGGGGGGGGGGTCACCATACGTCGAGAGCACACGAGGGGGGTCACCATACCTCGAGAGCACACGAGGGGGGTCACCATACCCTGAGAGCACACGAGGGGGGGGGGTCACCATACGTCGAGAGCACACGAGGGGGGTCACCATACCTCGAGAGCACACGAGGGGGGTCACCATACCCTGAGAGCACACGAGGGGGGGGGGGGGGGGTCACCATACGTCGAGAGCACACGAGGGGGGTCACCATACCTCGAGAGCACACGAGGGGGTCACCATACCTCGAGAACACACGAGGGTGTCACCATACCTCGAGAGCACACGAGGGGATCACCATACCTCGAGAGCACACGAGGGGATCACCATACCTCGAGAGCACACGAGGGGGTCACCATACCCCGAGAGCACACGAGGGGGTCACCATACCTCGAGACCACGCAGCTCCCATGCCAATCAGTATGGTTAACTCCCTCTGTATTTACCATTTGTTATTGTGGATAACAAATAGAAAAGACGGAAGAGGATAAGAAGGATTAGAAGAAAAAGAAGAAGAAGAAGAAGAAGAAGAAGAAGAAGAAGAAGAAGAAGATGATGATGATGACCACTTTAAAAAAATAGACATATCGTTACTCGGTTGATGTTGTGACCAGCACCGCGCGGCTGAGTTTACTTCCCATGAAATTACCTGATGCCCGTCTTAAGCTGAGTCGACCTGAGAGCCAAGGTAGTTTTTGAAAAAAAATTTAATCTGCATTGATTTTTCACTAGCATCTACATACATATTGTGTTAGCATAACCCCGCTTATTCTAATATGCAAAGTCGCCAACAGTGGTAAGTTTAGCACATGATTGCCCCTTTCCCCCCCCCCCCCCCCCTCCCCCAAACTATAAAAAGAGTTGTCGCGTTGAATGCCAGCTGCAGGCTCCGATGTAGAGCTGGCAGCTAAAAACTTGTTAAAGCGATGGGATTTTTGACTACCTGAGACATCAGATCGCCAGATAAAGAGGCATCTTTCTGACAGCCAGTCAGTAGATACCACACCACCTTTAGCATCGCTTCCAGGCACGCTCAGAAGCAGGGGCTGTGTGTTTAAATAAAAAAAAATGGGGCGGGGAAAGAGGGTGAGGGGTGCTGTATATTTGATGTAGACAAGTTTTGCACAGGTTCCCCGGATGGCGGCGCTAGAAGCACCGAGCACCTGGCTCGCTCGTCGGAGGCTTCAGCGGGACACGTGCGTGCTCGGTTTGTTGCTGATCTGTCGTCGGTCCCTCGTGGCTGTAAATTAGAGAGAGGGGCGAGAGGGAAGGTTAACTTATTAAATGCATGTATTTTTGGTAGGGTTCCGATTATAGAAATATGATCATCGTTCTTCTCCTTTTTTTCTTCTTCCTCTGCTGCCTTACCGATGGAGCATGGGCCGTCAGCCAACTCACGCCAAGTGGTTCTATCCTGTGCTGTTGCATGCGGCTGAACCAGTATCATCACCATCTCATCCCATGTCCTCTCCCCATCTCCTCCCAATCTCATCTCAAGTTCTCCCTATCTCCTCCCCATCTCATCCCATGTTCTCCCCATCTCATCCCATGTTCTGCCCATCTCATCCCATGTCCTTCCCAACTCATCCTATGTCTTCCCCATCTCATCCTATGTCCTCCCCATCTCATCCTATGTCCTCCCCATCTCATCCTATGTCCTCCCCATCTCATCTCATGTCCTCCCCAACTCACCCCATATCCTCCTTATCTCATCCCATGTCCTCCCCATCTCACCCCCTGTCCACCTCATTTCATCCCATGTCCTCCCCATCTCACCCCCTGTCCTCCCCATCTCACCCATTCCCCCCCCCATCTCACACCATGTCCTCTCTATCTCGCCCACGTCCTCCGCATCTCACTTCCTGTCCTCCCTATCTCATCCCTCGCCCACACACACC